AAACCCAGCTGAACAAAGAAAATTTGATCGCAATATAAGTACTGGCAAACTGTAGGCCTTATTAAAGTGAAATTTCGGTATTTTTGGACCGTGCTAAACTCCTCTAATTGTCATATTGTCAAAAAAGTAATTTTGAAACTATTATTCTGATATAAAGACTGCAGTTTGCAAGTCGTGTAATAACGTTAGCTTGATATGCTGGCCTTCAGATGCTGTGGCCACGTTTTGGTTTGCCGGGTCTACGCACTGGCCAAATGCCACTCTAATCCGAAGAGCAAGGAGAGCTGACTTACATGACTTTAACTTTACAGTAACCAAACTTCAGATCATTCAACAGCTTTCGAGACATTTTAAAAGAGAAGTGAAACATAGCGACATGGTAAAACATAAGACAACCTCTGAGATTATCTAAGATTGCTGAACAAATGTGGATTGTCGAAAGCTGCAAGAACCTGTAGAATCGATGCCAGAATGCAAGAGGTGTTTAAGTCAAAAGATGATCGTACCAAATATTGAAAAGTTTTGAAAATGTGAGGAGTCCCTTAGTTATTGATTGGACTTTCAATTTGGAAGAGAGAGAGATAGTATAATAACTGTTTCTATAAAGCGATGTGGTAAAAATAACCAATTGTCTCATAAAAGAGGCAAAGTAGTTAGATGGAAGACTGTCGCTTAAGAAGCTGCCAACGCAAGGTTTAAAAATTGAACAGAATAAAGAAGTCGGTTTTTCATGCTTAGTTCATTTTATACCATAGCAATTAATAAAAGAGTGAAAACAAGACAATCTTTGAAAGAAGCCGATAGCCTTTAAGGGTGCCACAGGTACAAAGGAATGAAAGTGAGAAATTAAGATGATAAGAGATCAAAGGCGAATCCAAGGGCACAAGAGACACTGTAGAAAAGTTGTTTAGGTCCGATTGGAACGGGATGGTCTGATTGTTAGCCCATGACATTGCATACCGATCTCAGAAACCTATGTAGCAAAATATAAATAAGGATGCTTACTAGTGATGCAAAAGAATATGAGTAAAAAGAAAATAAATAATAATATAAGACAGTGACGAAATCCTCACACAAAAGTAAAATCAAATCACTATTTGGAGATATGAACAGAAGGCTAACAGACAAAACAATGTTCGAGGCAAAATGAATTGAAGCCAACTATAGAAAAATGCTTCAAAAATGTAATTATGTTTAGATCAAAAATATAAACTAGAGACCCAAAAAGGTTAATAAGATTAAGGATAACCTAACAAAAAGTAAGGAGTAAATTACGATCAAAGTAGAGATATTTCGTAATTAAATCAATGATAGCACTAGAAATATATGAAGTAAATTAGACAGTTAGCAGGCAATGTACCAGCTACGAATCCCGGATAAAGCCTTTTGTACATTTAATTTAATTAAAAGTGCTGAAAAGTCATTAAATCGCGTTCTTAAGCAGCCATTTAAATAACGTTATAGTAAACCGTGATAAAAATTTAAGAATGACATATTTAGGCCTTAGATGGCCCAAAATACTAAATGATTGTGCATATACTTCACACGCCTCCCTTACACATGCCAGTTCTTTGCGCCAAGCTCCTGTCGGTTGAACCTCCGCGTAAGGATCACCACATCGACCCAACGTTGAAATCCCCAAACTGTCATATAAAGATAGTTTCGTTAAGTCTGCGTCTTCGAGGCATCATAAGCTAAGATACGGCTATGTCCAGATCGACTGAGAAGCAACATCACCTCTGTATTGCGTCTCTAAGCCTCGTCTCATCGCGGTGACTCCCTAGTGTGGCAAAATTATTATGCACACCCACATGATCTCTCGGTTACCTCTATTCTCTCATTTTCGCCCCTTAATCTCTATACCTAAAACCTGTGTCTGGATTACTAGTATATATCCCATATTAGGATCAATGCATCCTCAACTAAATTGCTTAGTTTTCTCTATTAGAAATTGGTCAGGTTTTCGGTACCATACATCTCTGAGTCTGACCATAACAGGTCATTTTCAGTAATTTATTGTCTTTATTTATCAGTTTATCAGAGTACATTTTCGTCCACAGAGTATATTCCATTATATTAGTGTATTAGGTAAAAAACATGAACTTTTAATTGAATAACAACATTATACGTTCAATACGTGACAATTTTTCTTTATTATACAGATTCGATAATACTTAAAAATTCAATAGTACCTCGAAACGGCTGCTAGCTAGTTAAAAATCTTTTTATTAAAAAATTGGTACCGTTAGTAGATTGACTATAAATAGATGTGATCGAAATAGTAAGTAAAGCAATTAGCGAGAACCTTAATAATTGTAGGTAGCTAAAAGCAAATTAAAGATTAATAGGGGAATTTTTTAAATTGCATGAATAGGCTTGACGATGCAAATGAATACATTGAATCCCAAAATGTTTTCTGATCTAGCCGGAATCGAGGTTTCAACTTTGAGTCTCGCATCAATCTTAACGGGATACGAAATCAAGCTATGCACGTGAGGCGGATAGGTTTAAATACTTCGCCACAACCATGGATGCAAGTGGGTCAGGGCAGATGCAGATTTCCAAGAAAGCTAGGCCTCTTATAACATTTTAAAAGTGGGATTTTAGATAATACAAACTCGTATATGTCATTGCATTGCAAATTAAAAAAGGTTAAGGAAATGAAATTACAATTCAGGTTAGGCACAGAAAGTTGGGAAGTAGATAGATCAAAGAACTCATAAGAGAGCATATGCCAATTAATTATTCACATAATAGAAGACATAAAAGCATTGCTTTTAAATAACAGGTAAGTGGAACGTTTTAAATTATCAAGCATAGAGAATATATAGATCCAAAATAAATCTATCAAAAATGCAAATAAAGCTAGCTGCATAGTTAATGAAATGGCTACATTGCATACCGTAGTCACATGGCACACCTGGCCTTTCATTGAGGGCATATAGCAAGCGTTGCTGAGTGGATCCCTTACAAATTCAGCTCCACTAAAAATCAAACAAAAAATACGAAAATTAATAATGATAAAGGAGCTAATGTATAAGATTTGAGTCGGAACAATTGCTGATTTTATATTCATAATATCAAATTTGCCATCTGCTTTTTATAACCTTAATATTTCTTTGTATGATTTCTCTGAAGTGTTCGTTACCAAGGAAAATTGCGCAAGATTTGATACATTATCGAAATCCTGACTAAATGGAATCTAATGAATAGGAGACTGAGGGAAGACAGGATTGGTCAAATCTTTGAATATTGCTTAAAAAAACTCGGATAACAGGGAACAGGAAGATCAGCAAAAAGAAGATGACTAGACCAATGAAATATTTTGAACATAAGGATAAGAAGTCTCGAGGCCAAAAGGACAGTCAGAAACTAAGTGGAGACGTAAAAAATGAAGCTACTCAAAGCAAGTTAAACATCTATAGGATTTGGAAGCTAGCACACAATAGGATATGCGGAAGGAGTCATATACTTGATATTATGGATAGAAGCGTGGGATGCGGCGGAGCCCAAAGCTAGTTGGCTCGCAGTACACAAGTTTCATCACAGACGTGTTCCGTAAAGTAAAGGATTAGCCTCGAGTTACCCGAAGCACATGCCGAACAGTGATAAGGGAATCTGTAGCGTAAAGTTAGTTTTCCATTCAGCTTGAGAATCAAAACTGAGAATACGACAAAGCAGCGAAAACGAGGTCAAACTACTCCTATACAATGAAAGAAGACCGCGACCATACCATACCTTAGGTAAAGATATTTAAACGACAGGCTATAGTGTCAAATACGTGTTCAAAATAAATTAATGTGAAGTACTCGAGTATGGAATAGAATTCGCTTAAGGTTCTCTCAAAGCAAGATATAAAAAATGTGAAATTTTGGGATTTTTTTATCCCAGAGAGAAATAATCAACATCATCAAACCACTTCCTCAATGGGTATATGTATTGAATAGAATAAAAAAACTGCAAAACAAGGAAAACTTAGAATATTTAAACACAAAATTTAATAAAATCAAATAATTCGAAAGCCGAAAAATAAAGGTCATTCAAACAACAAGGTCATGCCAAATAGTTATGGATGCTGGTATCACACACTTAAACATAAATAATTAAAATAATAAAAATTGATAGAATATAAGTTAATATATTCACCGATATATAGGCAAGTAGGAAGCTGCACATATCTCGAAAGGGTTTCGAGGATCGTAGTTCAGCGTCTGCTCATCTGTTGGGTTGGCCTCACATGTCTGCCATATTTTGCGCATCTGCGTAGCCACTTCCAGCGAGGGAGCTAAATCGAGCAGCCGGCGTGCCATCTGACCAGCAAGACGGAAGTTCTTCAATTTGTATAGCACCATAACAGCAGACCGAAGTGTCAATATGACATGTGGGGTCTCCAGTCGAAAGTGCGTGAAGTAGCAGGCTAGTTCTGCGTTACGGATCTACCCCAGCAATGATTGATGGTGGAGAAGATGTCAGGAGGAAAACGCGAAGGATGAATAGGTAATATGATTTGATTAGTGAAATTAAATAAAATTTGAAAACATATGGGATAAATTGATCATTCAGAAAAGGGAATTGCGAGAATGACTGGAAGAGTTGTGCCAAATTAGTTTGTAGGGATTTCATCTAGAAACAGAAATATATGGCAGTGGAGATGTAATAATGCATACAAGCCTCTCCAAGCCAACGTAAAAAACTTACTAAGCGGTCAGCTTTGAGGGCATTGATGTGAGGAATATCTAAGAGTCAGTCACATTAAAATTCTTCAAAATAGTTTGACATATACTAGGCAGTCTGGAAAACTAAGCCGAAAAGATGCAAGATGGCGAAACAATAGGTGTGAAGAAAGTTTAAAATAAGCAAAAGAGCTACTGTATCAACAATTTTATATAAATAATTGTTCATATAGTAAAGTGGATGTATATTTTTCAAAAATCTAGATCCGAACATCCACAACTTTCAGTTATATAATTGTCTTGTATCCATCCAATCGAAACAAGCATCGTAAATGAGGTGTAGATTAATATCGTAGATATGAAGACCAAGATCGTGTAGCCTTCTGTTTAGTGGCATTCTCCTTTAGCTTTATAGCTTTGATTCGAACTTGTTTTCGCAACTTGGTCAGGGCGTCAGGGAGACTCTGTGGAACATACCTAGTCCTGTATCCGCTGTTATAATATTGGTGATATCCAGGATTGGACCATTGACTTAGTACATTCTCAGACGTTACGCCGGCATCGTCAGTGAGAGGCGTCATGGTAAGAACATAGTTATAATTTGTCAAGTGACAAGTGAAGGCAATACCTTTGAACACTTTTATCTTCAATCGTTGTGGCATCACTCCTCGTCTCTAATTTTTGTCAAACCTTCTCGTGGCGCATCTCTTTCTAAACCCCACTTCAAATGGCCCATCCACATATTGACACAATTGTGTACTCTCGTATTTTCCAATGTCTCTTAAAACTGGGTTTCTACAAGTGGGTTTAGCCAAGCGTAATCATCTCCATCACCGGTATAAGGTGCTGTTTGAAGGTCCCTTGACCTATATTCTACTCCTCTTTTTTCCTACCCCGTTTGTTAATTGGTCGCTGCTAAAAAGGAAAATAACTGATATAAGACCAAGATGGTGTGGCCCCCGGTATGGTCTCTTAGACGAATTCGTAGCTTTGGTGCAAAGAATGGCAACACTCACTGATGATGCCGGCGAAACGTCTGATAATGTACCAAGTCCTCGGTCTCATGCTAGGAATTATGATAACTACTATATCAGAGGACTTCGAACAAGGAACGTTCAACTAAGTCACCCTAAAAACAAGACCAAGTTGCAAAACCGAGGTCAACCCACTCCCATAAGGCAAAATCACAGTTTGGTTGTCTGAAATCTGGCTGCCTAAAAGATTTCAATTCCCGTACTCGATTACACCATGCTTGAGGAGTTAGAGCAGATGATGCCCATGCACATGCACATGTCAGTGCCTGGGAATCTTCCTCTTCCTAGGCTTCAAACCCATGACTCAGTTATCGTCTTTCTCATCCCTACCCGCAGTGTGTCTCATTCTTTGGGGCCATAGGTCCGGTGTATATCATAACCGCTGGTGTGAAAATGCACAACTTATCTTTGTTTCGAATTGAATGGCGAAAAGCACTCCTATCGTCCTTCAGATTGACATTCATCTAATCATAGGGTACTACGAAATTCATGAATTTGTTGGCTGGCCTCTTCCGTCGTCAAGCCTAATACCAGTCACCTCCCCTTCAGGCAGACACGAAAAATGTACACAAGCACCCGCGTACACACATTGGTTACCTCTATCTAGCCCATTTATACAGTTAGCCTTTAATTTCATATCCTACGTCTCACAGGTAAACACCCGGTACATTTTTTTGCTAATTCCAGGTTTAACTCCCCTCACTGCAATCGCATTTTCTTGACTTCCCTTTGTCCTATATGAGCCGCTTTATGGTGATGCTTCTTCCTGTTGTTGAACTGTTGCCCTGGGTCCAAGAATCTTTTTTATGTATTCGTTGAATCTCCAAGTTTGCTCAGGCAGTACGCGAAATTATCGCTGACTCTTCCCTCTTCCAATCTCCTAGTCATCAAGTTTCTTTCAAATAGGATGTCCACAGCCTCCCTGATCTTCCTTTTAATGGTGTTTTCCACACGAGGCCACTCTTTCCATTTCCCTCCATTCAATTGTGTGGGCGATTTGTTCAGCCATCTCCGATATTTTCGTATCCATTTTTCTGCATAATCGCTGGTTTTCTTTGATACTTGTGCCAATTGTTCTTCCAGTCTCTACTATGTAGTTTTGTTCACAATCCTTGCAGTTTATGTTGTAAACTCCGGAGCGCTCCATTTTGTTGACTTCTTAATGTTGTATGGGCAAGCTGGTAAAGGAGGTCGTCCCTTCCTTCAGGATTGTACGAATGTTCCATTTCCCTAATATTGGCC